TTTAATGCAATTTCAGTTTAATTTCTACTCTACACACTGCTCAATCACATGCACACACAGCACACTGCTTACTGCAGGGCTATTGAGGCCACACACCCTACATGCACTGTGCTTTCCTCCATAACATGAACAGATCATTTCTTAAATCCTGCACACAAAATATCAAAATGTCCATCTTGGTAAGTATTCATGTAAATTACATGATTATTACAAAAAAAATTGTTCAAAACTTCCTTGTGCTGCGTGTAATATACTGTGCAACTAAATTAGGCTATACCATTGTAAAAACAAATACACTGACTGAACAAACCATAGACTGGAACAAACATTTAGGTGAGATAATATACCTCACTTTAAACACGTCACTTCCTGTTTGTTGCTGCCATGTGTTTTGAGTTTGAGCTCCGTCAAGTCATAGACTGGAACAAACATTTAGGGGAGATAATATACCTCACTTTAAACACGTCACTTCCTGTTTGTTGCTGCCATGTGTTTTGAGTTTGAGCTCCGTCAAGTTAATTCTTTGTCGTCTAATTTTTTATCTTAAAATCAATTTTATACACCATCATTTTCGTTTCTATAACGTGTGAATATATCCCCTATCGTATTCTACAACAAAAACAATCAGAGCGCCTTGTTATCACTAGTTCTATTTTTCACTTCCCGAGTCCGCTATTAGCATATAGCCCGCTAGCAACACCAGCGTGGTTGCCGCTAATCTCGCTTACATTACTAATACACTATTCACTGTTACTTGCTTTAATGGCGGATGTGTGTCTACCTTTGAGTGCAGGTGAGGACACATCATTACTCCAGTCTTCAGTGTCACATGATTCTTCAGAAATCATTCTAATATGCTTATTTATAATCAATTTTGGAAACTACTTTTTTTTTTTATTATTACCTGTGATTCGTTTTTCAGGATTCTTTGATGAATAAAGAGTAAAAAAGAAGAACAGCGTTTATTTAAAATAGAAATCCTTTTTTAACAATACACTACCATTCAAAAGTTTGGGGTCAGTATCTGTTCTCTTTTTTTGAAATAAATTAATACTTTTATTCAACAAGGATGTGTTCAGTTAATAAGTAATAGTAAAGACTTATATTGTTAGAAAACATTTCTATTTTGAATCAACACTGTTCATAAGTTTTTATTTATCAATAAATCCTGAAAAAAGCATCATAGATTCCCCCCCAAAAATCTAAAAGTCTATTTTGAATAAACACTGTTCACAAGTTTTCATTCATCAGTAAATCCTAAAAAAGCATCACCGATTTCCCCCAAAAATCCAAAAATGTCATTTTTAAAATTTGTATTAGTTTGCATGCATGTGAGCCTATGATCAGACAAAATGTTTATATTTATGTTTGTATATGATAGTTTTATAAATTTCCCGAAATTTTCAATTAATTCCTATAAATTCCTGGTAAATTTCAAACTTGGAATATTTCCAAAATTCCCCAGACGAAGTTCCCATGGAAAGTTTCCAGAAAATTTCCGCCCCTTTGCAACCCTAGAATTAAATACCATTTATTGCACATTTCTTGTACTCTGTGAGTAAGTATATGTTGTATATACAGGGGGCAGCAGGCAGACGGACAGTTTAGTCCTGGGGAGACCGAGGCAGCTGTGTCACCCTGCAGAGTCCACAGGGCAACGGAGACGGGTGCTTTTAATGTCCACTAATCCGGATTAGCTGCTCAAGGGACAGCCGAAAACATACTCTCCTCACCCTGCCAAATGTATTTAGCAAGACCAATAAATACTGCACAGCACAAAGGGAGCAGGCAGAGGATAACATTTGGTTACTTACTAATGCTTACAGTGAAGCTTTTATAATGGAAATAAGGGAGATTCCTTGTGGGAGAAACATTCAATTTAATTTCAAGTAAAATTGGCTGGTAGTCTGTTGCAGAGACGATGAGGGAAAGGACTGACTGGAGAAAGGAAGTGGTCTGCGGTTCACCTTCACATGTTCTGGCACTAGATGGCACTAGACACTATAGAAAACAACTGGTGAGAATTCTTTTGTGGGGTGAGAAGGCTACAACTCAGAACACCACCAAAAAAGACAGAAAGTCAAACATTAGATGAAGAAATTGCAGGACTTTTACAAAGTGAACTGGTGCAACAGAGATGCACGAAGAAAGGCTGCTACCCTGAAGCTCGTTGATCTAAATTTAGCTTTCAACATCTTCAATACGAACAAAGAGAATATTTAATCTGTGTGTTTGCGGCAGAAGCACAACATAACCAGATATGCAACAGCGCACAACTCTCAAAGCCTTCTTTACAGCTCAAGCAATATTAAAGTGTTTTTTAGAACCCCAAGCAAATGGAGAGAAGAAGAATCTAGTCTGATTGGTTTTAGCGAATCTGTTTGTTTTGAAATTTAAAAAAGTGTTCAAGAGATATGTATATAATTATATGCATTCAAAATTATTGAAGAAAGAAAAAAACATGATCACGCACGCGCACACACACACACAAAAGTTACACAGAAACAGGGAGTCAATTTAATAAAATCATTAAAACGAATAGATCCAAGAAAGATTCATTCATGAATCCGATATGACTATCACTAAAATACTTTAATGTTATGAAATCTCTAATTGTTATTTGCCCAAGAACATGAATTATTATTGTGGGCAGCTGTGTATGAGTGGAGGGAGGCATTGCTACATGACTGGTTGAAGACCTGACCGCATGAATGCTGGCAAATCAAACAAACACATTGAACTTTGTGAGGCAAACATGCATTCTATTAGAATGCAGCTCAAGAGACAGGCACTGGAATTAGACTGTGATTCACACATGTGGCTCCCAGAAGGACAAGAATGATATTTTCCCTCCAGCTGGATAACAGACATCTGCTACTGACTGTGGTCAGGAAGTCAGAACAAATCAACTCAAATCAGTGGTTTTGTAATGCTTGTCAAAAGTGTGTGAGTCTGTGTGTATTCTATGAGTGTATTCCATGCAGACATTTGCAGATGTATTTGTCTGGTTATTCAAAAACACAATGCATATGCATATATAATGCATATATGCAATTCATACACTGATTTGAATACACTTCTTCTGTGTTGAACATGTTTTACATTCTGAATTAAATTGTATTGATGCTTGTAGGCCTTAAAAGTCTTAAAGGGGTCATATGATGCGATTTCAATTTTTCCTTTCTCTTTGGAGTGTTACAAGCTCTTGGTGCATAAAGAAGATCTGTAAAGTTGCAAAGACTAAAGTCTCAAATCCAAAGAGATATTCTTTATAAAAGTTAAGAGTCAACCACGCCTACAGTCGAATCCGCCGGCCACGCCGTTCTCAAGCCCGCCATGTGAGACGCTGTGTGTTTTGTTGTAAAAGCTAAACTACTTTGTTTGGCCTTCCAAAAGAGGACACGACTAGAAATCAGTGGTTAAGTTGTATTGAC